CCCACCCTCCCCATGCATGAATGTCGTGCACTAGGCCACTAGTATCTCAATAAAGCTGGGGGTGGAGGGAAGAAAGTAGGAGCCAATAAGCACATGAAAAGATGCTTGAGGTTAATAGTCATTGGGACACTTAAAGAAATTAGAATATGAACTGTGAATTAGATAATAGTATTGTAACAATGTTAAATTTCCAGATTCTGATCATTGTTCTGGGTTATACAAGAGAATGTACTTGTTCTCAGGAAATATATAGTGAAGTACTTAGGGGTAAAGGAGTACAATGTCTCCAACATTAAAAAATTTGTGTGTGTGATATGTGTATATTATATAGATGGTGGCAGTGGGAGAGGAAAAGGAAGAGAAGGATTAAAAGAAAGAATGACAAAGCAGATATAGCAAAATGTAAACAATTGTTGAATCTGGGTTAAGGACATACAGAAGTTCCTCTATTATTCTTGTAACTGTTCTGTAAATTTGAAAGCATATCAAAATTAAGTTACCAAAAATGTGGCGTAAGTTTTTTTTTAAAGAGATGAAAACTGAATTTATTACCAACAGATGTTCAGGAAAGGAATTTCTAAGGGACTGTACTTCAAAAAGGAAATACAATAATCCCAGAAGGATGGTCTGAAATGCAAGAAGAAATGGAGAGCAAAGAAATGATAAGCATATGGGTAAATCCCAACAAACACTGGCTGGAGAACACACTATAAATAACAACATTTAATCCTGATAGCTAGGATTTTTTGTCTGGGAGGTGGGGGAGGCCAGGCAGAGGGAACTGCATGTGCTACACAGGGAAGCAGCAGGAAGTGAAACTGGCAAGGCAGAGAGAGGCAGCAGGGTTTCTAGTAGGGTAAGATCATTTCTCATTGGGCTGCAGAGCCCTGCATTGCAATCCATGGACCAGGCCAATAGCTCCCCTCAGTCTTCATGATGGCAAAAAGTACCCCTGCAATTTCCAAATGCCCACTGGACATGGTACCCTTGGTAGAAGACCACTGAACCAGACAAGGAAGGCTCCTATGTATCACTCAAAAGGAATTTGGATGTTATCATGAGGCAATGAGAATTGCTGAGGGACTTTCTTGGCAACAGTGAGGAGGAAAGATTGGAGGGGAACCAGATTAGACACAAGGAAAACATTTAAGAAGCAACAACAAACAGTATAGGAGACTGGAGAAAAGGACAATCACAACAACCTTCTTGGTCATGTCTGAGATATCAATGGGACATTCAGTAGAGAGTTGGATATGCATATGTAGGGGCAGGGGGAAGAAATGAGGGAGAGATCTGCGCTAAATACATATTTGTTTTCTAATGTTTATAAGAATGCTTCAATTTAAATTCCTACCCTCCACCCCTATTCCTATCCCAATACTAAGAAAAAACTTACCTTGCCCTCTCAGCTGGTAAAGCAAGTGGCCCAACATTCTCACCAGTAGAGAAATCAGAAATAGCAGTTTCTTCAGACTGTAGCTCTTCAACATGACTTGTTTCTTCCTTTTCCAAAGGCTTTAAAATTTTTTTAAGTTATTTAACCAGGTAAAAGAACACAAAAGATAACAGTCAACTGTTCACTATGCTAAAACATAATGCACCGATTCCAAAACGTTGAGTATAAATGACTGGGCTATGGCAAGCATCATAGCTACAAACCAGTTTGGTACCAACTCATCTTGCCACCAGAAGCATTTCCACTGTCCTATCAAGTTCCTACTAATAAAGGAAGCATCTGATGTCATTAGAGAAAAGTGTCCCAACATGCACAAAATGCTAAAGACAAAATACCAAGGGGAAAAAACATCGGAGACTCCCTGATACTCCCTGATTTTGTCAGATTCTTCATTTCCCAAATGTGAAGATTCCTTAAAGTTATTCCTCTTAGGGCTATCAAGTCTCTTTGTGTTACAGGGTTCTGATATCTATGTGTTTAACTACTTAACTAGCTCAGAATTGCCAATAATAACAATATTACGAGTTAACATTTTCTGAGCATTACTAGGTACCAGTTACTGTTCTACGTTTTCTTTTATTTTTCATAAAAGCCCTGAGACTGATACTATTGTTAACTCTGTTTTAAAGATGGAAGAACTGAGATAGTGAATGGTTAAATAACTTGTCTAGGATAATAACACAGCTGCTGAGTGCAAAGCCAACATTTGAATCTAGGCAGCCTCTTCTAGCAGTAAATCCTCTGCAGAGTTAATAGGTATCAGACCTAGATGTTTCCTCAACTTTGAATTTCTTTTGCAAGATTTCAGATTTCATTCCCTTGCAAGTCTCTGGCTTTCCAAAAAGTTCCTTAAACTAGAGCTCCCAAGAAATACTATTTTTTCCTCTACTCTACTTTTCAACAATCATGCATTAAGCTCCACTGATCTTTGCAGAAACAAAGGTCATTTTAATTGTTCTTTGTCCAAAAATGCAGGGCCTCAATGAATTACAGGTAACTCTTTAAAACTCAAAGCTGCATTCTCCCTAGAATCCTATCCCAGATTTCCACAAATGCCTTCTGTTCATCTTTACCATTTCCAAGATAATTTAACTTTTTCAGCTTTTCTCCTACATACATACATTTCCCATTCTCCCCATAACAAAAGTCTAAATTCAACCACATAATTCACCTATAATTATTTTCCAAGCATTTGCCCATCAGAGATAAGCACTAATAACACCCATTCATTAACTTAAAAGACAAAGAAGTTCCCCTCCTCAAAAAGGAGTTTTCTTGCCCCGGCTGGTTTGGCTCAATGGATAGAGAGCATTGGCCTGCAGACTCAAGGGTCCCAGGTTCGATTCCAGTCAGGGCACATGCCCGCGTTGCGGGCTCCGTTCCCAGTGGGGGGTGTGCAGGAGGCAGCCAATCAATGATTCCCTCTCATCATTGATGTTTCTATCTCTTTCTTCCTTTCCCTTCCTCTCTGAAATCAATAAAAATATATTTAAAAAAAAAAGAAAGAAAGGAGTTTTCTTGTGTGCGCATTTAAAATAAAGAGCTCCTAGTTCATTCACCACAATGTCTATACAGAATGCATGAGCGCTGTAAAGCAGACAGAGGTGTTCCTTCCAAAGAAACGTTCACTTTCCCTTTTAGAGCCTGTTCCTATCTACTTCAGGAAATGATGTAAGCAAAGGAATGGTTGCTCCAAGCAACCATTAACAGCACTCAATAAAAACCACAACTGCCAAAACAGTTACATAATTAAAACAAAAAGGATTAAGGTTGTAATTATAAAATGATAGAAAAAATAAGAAGTTCCCTCTTGTTATAGTTAACAAAATTAAAGTAGAATTTCCTTGTGTCATAGCTACTTATGCCGTGCTGTTCAACACAGTAGCCACTGGCCATATGTGGCTATTGAGCACTTGAAATGTGGCCAGACCAAATTGAGATGTAAGTGTAAAATACACACCACATTTTAAAGACGTAGTATGAAAAAAGAACTTAAAATACCTGATTAATGATTTCTATATTAATTAGGTTTTGAAATTATAATTTCAGATATATTAGATTACATTTTTTAAAATTACTACACCTAATTTCAGACCCAGCAATCCCACTCCTGGGTATTTACTGTAAAGAAAAGTTATGTGCAGCCCAGCTGGCATGGCTCAGTGGTTGAGCGATGACCTATGAACCAAGAGGTCACAGTTCAATTCCTGGTCAGGGCACAGGCCGGGGTTGCAAGGCTCTGGGGGTGTGAAGGAGGCAGCCAATCAATGATTCACTCTCATCACTGATGTTTCTATCTCTCTCCCTCCCCCTTCCTCTCTGAAATCAATAAAAATACATTACAAATTTTAAAAGAGCCGAAACCGGTTTGGCTCAGTGGATAGAGCGTCGGCCTGCGGACTGAAAGGTCCCAGGTTCGATTCCGGTCAAGGGCATGTACCTGGGTTGCGGGCACATCTCCAGTAGGAGATGTGCAGGAGGCAGCTGATCGATGTTTCTCTCTCATCGATGTTTCTAACTCTCTATCTCTCTCCTGTCCTCTCTGTAAAAAAATCAATAAAATATATTAAAAAAAAAAATTTTAAAAGAAGTTATGTGCACACAAAAATTTGTACAAAAATGATTATAGGAGCTCTTTTCATGATCACTGAAAACAACTCAATTGTCCTTCAAAGGGTGAATGGGTAAATAAGCTGTGGTATATCCATACCATGAAACACCACTCAACAATTAAGAGAAATGAATCACTGATACACACACAACTTGGAAGAATCTCAAAAGCATTAAACTGAGTGAAAGACATACTGTATGATTCTATTCATAACATTCTTGTTTTTCTGTTAATAACATTCTTAAAAGTAAATTTTACTGTAAGATAATTTCACTCATTTATATTTTAATGAGGTTACCAGAAAATTTAAATTACATATGTGGTTCACATTATATTTCTATTGGACAACACTATACTTACTTATTCCTAAAAGAATTAGAATCCATTTTTTAAAATATGTTGCCCTGGCTGGTTTGGCTAACTGGTTAGAGCGCCGACCCACTGACCAAAGGGTCGTAGGTTTGATTCCTGGTCAAGAGCATGTACCTCTGCTGCAAGTTCCCAACAGCCAGTAGGAGCATATGTGAGAGGCAACCAATCAATGTCTCTCTCTCACGTCAATGTTTCTCTGTCTCTCCCACCCCTGCTCCATCTCTTCCACACTCTCTCTAAAGGTCAATGAAAAAAATATCCTCAGGTGAGGATTAACAAAAAAAATGCTGATAAAAAAATGTATACACTGGAGATTATTCTCATCAAAGCAAATTTGGCTATCAAGAATACTATATTCTTGCTATAGTAACAACCACAAACAGCACTACTTACCACTTTTTCCAAGATGAATACAACATCATTTTCATTTAGAATATTTTTCAAAGGATTTGGTTGGCCTTTGCCAATCAACTGCACTTGGACATCAGCCTATCAAAAACAGATAATGTTTTATGTGATTAATATTTGTACAAATATATAAAGACAAGTTCCATGCAAGTAACTGGAAAGAATCTGAACAGACACAATGTTTTAAAAGATTTCATTTATTCTTTGCCCACATTATTTTTCCTGTGTAGAAAATGTAGTTCATATCTGTATCTACACACACTTCAAGGCCCAACTAAAATGCACCCTGCCTTTTACTTAGGATCACGCTGACAACCTTTTCCTCTAATCACACGGTATTTATTTTTAAGTACCATAAAATTAACCCTTTACAAAATGTTATCCTTTCTTCTGATAGAACTATGGAATTTAGAACTTTATCAGTTTATAGGAAATGCAGTCTTTCATTCCAGTCACAATACTGTAGAAAAGTTTATTGTAGAAAAGTTTGAAAATAGGTAGCTGAAAGAGATTTTAAAAAAACTCACCTATAATTCTACTAGCCAGGGTAATCATTACTGTTATTAGCCTTACTGGTACGTATTTTGCCAGCTCTTTTTCCAGGCATATAAATAAACCTATTTAAATTAAAATGTATCTATTATTTAAATATAGATAAGATTTTGCTTAATAAAAATAGGATATTCTAATAGTTTTTATACCATGAAATTCCATGTCCTTTGTCTAGTACCATGGCTCTATCATCATATAAATAATTTCACATTGTTTGACATTTAGGTACTTTCAAGTTATTCCCTATTAAAAGAACAATTGTATTACTTCCTTAAGATGGATATATAAAATCATATCGATATTGTCAATTTGCCATTCAAATATACCATACCCACACATTTGTATTCCTGTCACTTACATCAACACGGTGAGTATTTTCTGAGCATTTTCATTATTTTTACTGTCTTGTAGCAAGAATATAGTATCCTGCCCAGCTGGCGTGGCTCAGTGGTTGAGCACCAACCTATGAACCAAGAGGTCACAGTTCAATTCCTGGTCATGCCCGGTTTATAAGCTCCATCCCCAGTGGGAGGCATGCAGGAGGCAGATGATTAATGATTCTCTCTCATCACTGATGTTTCTATCTCTCTCTCCCACTCCTTTCCTCTTTGAAATCAATAAAAATATATTTAAAAAAGAAAGCAGTATCTTGTTATTGTTCTAATTTTCATTTATTTGATCACTAAATGAACATGAACAGTCTCTAATATGCTTATTATTGACAAGTATCTCTCATTATTTAAATGTTTAATTTCTTATTTTAGCTATTGAAGCATTTAGATACCAAGTTCAGAGAGCCAAGGATTTGTTAGAAATCAAAAGATAGGAGGAGGCCAGGAAAGAACCTTTCCCAGAGCCTCAGAGGGAACATGGCCCTATAGGCACTTTGATTTCACACTCCTAGTCTCCAGAACTGTACGAGAATGCATTTCTGATGTTTTAACAAACCAATCTGTGGTACTTTGTTACAGTCGCCCTAGGAAACTAATATAGATGTCAAGTGGCAAGAATTCAGGGAGGGATTAATATATTTACCTGGATATACTGAGTTTCTGAGTTTGGTTAGTGAGAATTCAGATAGTGTAAGATATGCCTATATTTGCTTTTTTTCCCTGTGAGTACTTATTGTGTCCTTCTATTATAGTTGTCTTTTTTCTTAATTGATTTTAAAGAGTTTTTAATATATTTTTAAAATATGGATATTAACCTTGATCACTTATGACTGTTTTTCCCGAGCTTATTTGTCTTTTAGTAAGTAATTTACCTTAGTTTACTCATTACTTTAAGGATTAAACTCTATGGGGAGTTTACTTATAGAACAGTTGGCATATATTGGATGCTTAATAAATCAATACATATTTATAGCAGCTTTGCTCATAACTATCACAAACTAGACACAATCCAAGTGGTAAATGGATATCCAAACAGTAGTGCATCCACACAATGGAAAGCTGTTCTGCAATATAAAGGAATGGACTAATACACACAACAACAAAGATGAATCCAAAATGCATTATTCTCATTAATGAAGTCAAACCCAAAAGGCTACATACTGTATGATTTTATTTACATGAAATTATGGAAAAGGCAAAAGAAAAGACAGAAAATGAGATAGAAAACAGATCTGTGGTTTCCAGGCACTGGGAACAGGAGAGAGGGTTGACTATAAAGGGACATGAGGAAATTTTTGGAAGTGACAGAAATGTTCTCTATCCTGACGGGAATGGTTATATGACTGAATGCATTTATAAAAACTCCTAGAACTGCACTCTACAAGAATGAAATTTACTCTATTTAAATTAACTTCAATAAACCCAACTTTTAAAACACAATTTTAGGATTATTGAGTTGTTTTTAAAAACCAAATTTTTCATACCTCATAGATAAATGGGTCTTTACAGATTCCTTTCTTTTCTTCATCAAATTCCCTGTGATACAGAACCACATGTAAAAAATAGAGTTACAGAATTCTGTCATTTCAACTCAAGAGTTAGTCATCATGTGTGACAATAGTGAGAAAAGCAAAATGCAAAGTAGACATGGCAGCCTTAAGGCATAGTTGGGAAGAGGGGGGAAAAGCAGAAAAGTTTTAGGTTAAGAAGAAATAGAGGAGAAACTAATGGCGGCATAGGTAAACAACAGAGTTTGCTGCCTCGAACAACCACTTCAAAAATACAACTAAAAGACGGAACGGACATCATCCAGAACCACAGGAAGGCTGGCTGAGTAGAAATTCTACAACTAGAAGGAAAGAGAAAAGCATACCGAGACGCAGAGGAGGCACAATGCGGAAGTAAAATACTACGGTGCGGAGGTGCGCACGGAGCAGGCTGGCGGCTGAGGGCGCAGTTGTCTGTTTCAATCAGGAGGGAGTCTCAGACTCTGAGCTCCAGATCTGGGCGAGTCTCTAGGGACCCAGACTCAAACGGGAGAAGCGGGACTGTCTGGCTTCAGTCGGAACTTGAAGGCAGCTTTCTCTCCGAGGTTTGCAGCGGTTGCTGGGACTCTGTGAGGCAGAGCCCCTAGGGACGGAACTGAGAGCAGCCATAACTGCTTGCTCCACCTGCCCTGTAGATCCCCTGGGACCCACCCCGCCCCCGCCCTGCCCAGAGC